GGAAACTTTAATCTCAGAGCCACTTCCTGTGCCTTGAATGATGCATTTTTGCTTTTGTAACGAGTACATTAAATGCTTTAAACTTAAATAAGCAAAATTTTAACGCTGCTTTGTCACAGAAACACTTCGAGGGGGAAAGAGTCAAAGTTGATGTTTTAGTGAAATGCTTGCACATCTTGCAGGATTATAAGAAAATAATTTTTTTTTTAAAAGTCCTGAAAAAGAGATTTCATAGGAAACTGGTGTTTGCACGGCTTCAGTGCAGAGTTTCTGAACTTCTGCATGTTTCTCACTCGTTCTGCTCGCTTGCCTTCGTTCTGTGCGTCTGGAATCTTGCTTGTTTGTAGAGGGCATCCTGTAATCTATGACACAGGAAACGCACTCAGACAGATAGAACAGGGCGAGGAGGGAGGGGTAGAACTGAAACAAGGCAGGGAGGAGGGGGGGTAGATGAAATGACAGGTTGTGTCAAGAAACAGATTTGGTTGTTCTCTCGTGTCAAGGCGTCTGTCACCAGAGCGTCTCACAGCTGGTCAACTTCAGGCTGACGCTCCTCACATCGAGTCTCTGTGGTTCTCACGGCTCGTGTTCATCTCCTCCTCCTGAATGAGTGTTTCATTAAGGAGGCCGTGTTTATCCTCTCTGGTGTCCTTCTCTCTAACAGAACCAAACCTTCCAGAAGGTGCGGTAGAATAAAGACGTGTGGCGTCTGCTGATCTGGAACATTTCATGCATTCCTTCTGAGGTTTTCTTTATAGCAGTGCGTCCCTAAAGTAGGAACATTTCAGCTCGGCGAGGAAACCTGTTATTAACGTTCATCAGGGTCAACGCAGAGAAAGTTTCATTTCCCCAGCTCTCTCTCTCTCTCTCTCTCTCTCTCTCTCTCTCTGTCTCTCGGACAGTTTATCACTTCATCAACACGTCTGAGTATAAAACAGACAAACGTGGGGTCAACACTGCAAGAAACTTAAACTTGAATTTGGACTGAGACGAGAGTTATGTACATGAGGAGTTTGGAGGTGAGGAGGGTGTGGAGTTTAATTTACTGAATGTAGTCGATGCTTTGAGTGTGACAAGCAGCTCGGCATCCTGCAGACAGGAAGTGCTCTTAAACAACAAGAGTTTCAAAAAGACACAGACAGAGCCGAAAAGACTGTTATCACTCCACCCATCCTGTCTGCTGCACACACACACACACACACTCTGCACAGATGCACTCTGCACACACACACACACACACAGACACTCTACACACTCTGCACACACACACACTCTGCACAGACGCACAGACACACACACACACACACACAGACACATACTCTGCACACACACACACACACACACACACACGCTCACATGAGGCCCCCCGATGGCAGCTGAGACGAGGCTGCCACTTTCTCTGTTTCCACACTTGCTGCCTCATGACTCGCCGCTTTGTGCGTTTCTCATGCAGGCTCTATTCCTCGCCGCCGTGTGTGAAGTAAGGGGCTGTAAATTAAGGTTTGACAGATATGAGCTTCAAAGTGTCTGTCTCCTCACTGTAAGCCTGAAGTATAAAATAATAATACTGTCTGACATGGTTGTCCCTGAGAGGTTTTCTGCATGTTCAGAATGATGTCATTCAGCTTCAGGAGTTTAGTGCAGGTGTGAGCGAGGCCGGAGATTCAAACTGTTCTTTTTGTAAAACAAATGCAGCGCCTCGACATCTGCCACCGTCACACTGTAAGTTCAACTGCATCATGTGTTCTGGGCGGCTGATATCTGATCACAGAAGTAGTTTGCATGATATGCATTTTGATTTTAAGGATGTGAAAATTTCAAAGATGGCGTCACAATGAACCAACACACCAGAGCAGGCTCGAGTGGAAAGGGTCAATATAGGTCTGTTCTCAGTGAGGCAGTCTGTGCCCGTCCAACACACACTCTCTGCTTATCTAACAGCCTTTTTTTAAACGTGTCACTTCCTGTCTATATTGTGTAATCCAGGCTGGATCATAAAGGGTGTGTGTGTGTGTGTGTGTGTGTGTGTGTGTGTGTGTGTGTGTGTGTGTGTGTGTGTGTGTGTGGTGTGTGTGTGTGTGTGTGTGTGTGTGTGTGTGTGTGTGTGTGTGTGTGTGTGTGTGTGTGTGTGTGTGTGTGTGTGTGTGTGTGTGTGTGTGTGTGTCTTTGAAGTGAGCTCAGGTCTATCACCTGCTGTAAGTCAGAGGATTTATCAGGAGAGCGCTGTGGAGTTTCTCCCCTCACCCCTCGGTCAGGGTCTGTGTGTGAATGTGCACGAGTGTGAGGATTTCTCCCACCCTCTCAGATGATGTTAAATCCCGGGGGTCCTCTCGTGCACTCTAACGGGATCATTTCCTGTGAATTGACTGATCGTTAAATTAAACCTTTTTCTGATCACCTGAATCACTTCCTTAAAGCACGAAGTCTCTCTCAGACTGTCTCCGCTTCCCGTCTCACACTCTCACTGCTCAGTAATCTAGACATGCAGATCCCCCCCCCCCCTCGCTGAGTCCCGCGGGCTCAGCTGCCAACTGCTGACCCCCTGACGCGCTCCTCCGTCCAAGATTACCGGGGCCGGATCTCACCCTGACGGAAAGCCGCGGCGCTGGCAACTGGTAATCCACGAGACGAGGGCGGGCACGTGGCACAGAGACTTTGCCCAGACGCTGTGTGTGTGTGTGTGTGTGTCTGTGTGTGTGTGTGTGTGTGTGTGTGTGTGTGTGAGAAATGGACTGCAGGCTCTAGCCTCCGGTCCGGTGTTGCTGCCCTGATATGTAGGCCACATCTCTTCATCTCTAGATAACCTACAAACCTGCCAATCAGATCATTCTTATATTTAAAACAACAGGAACACTTTTAGATATTTCTCTTCTTGCTCTCTGACCGTCTCTTTAATGTGATGATGTCATGGAGATAAAAAACTGTTTCAGAAAATCCATCATTGAGTTAAAATAAGAAGCTGAATGTGGACACAGATCTGTTCAGGTTCTATGAGGAGGAGCTTGTGTCCTTGGACCAATCATCAACCCCTTGTTGTAGAGAAAGAGCTCTGCCTCCTCTGAGGTCCTCATGTCGGATTTCTCCAGTTTGAAAACAAAATACAAACTATAAGAAATAGTTTATTTTACAGCATGACAGTCATGATGGAGTTCTAGCCCCCCTCAGCTCTCTGGATTTGTTCTTGAAAGTGGAGTTGTACATCAGGTTTGTGTCGGATCGAGGACAGCTGACCTCTGCAGGATTCATTCGTCTAGCCACGCTGCTTTTCCTGAGAGAGGAGCTCTGATTACACGGACGTGTGGCAGAGTGTGACAGACTGCCAACACGGGCGAGCGAGGCACAGAGAGAGAGAGAGAATCTAAGCCCATTACAAATGACCACCTGTTGACACAGCGCAGGGGGCAGCTGGTGTGTGTGTGTGTGTGTGTGTGTGTGTGTGTGTGTGTGTGTGTGTGTGTGTGTGTGTGTGTGTGTGTGTGTGTGTGTGTGTGTGTGTGTGTGTGTGTGTGTGTGTGTGTGTGTGTGTGTGTGTGTGTGTGTGTGTGTGTGTGTGTGTGTGTGTGTGTGTGTGTGTGTGTGTGTGTGTGTGTGTGTGTGTGTGTGTGTGTGTGTGTGTGTGTGTGTGTGTGTGTGTGTGTGTACTGCAGCAGTTTGCAGACTGAATGCTGCAGATTCCTGAGGGAGATCCTCACAGAGAGAGAGAGAGGGAGAGAGAGAGAGAGGGATCAGGGTGTTGTAATCACCTGTATATATAGTGTTGGTGTGACAGAGCCTCCATCACATGTGTGACCTGTTCTCCGACACTTGACCTCCAAACGTGTCAAAAATGTAAACTTGTGCAAACAGGAAGTACTTTATTGTTTCCATTCCAGGATTAGAGGTGTCATATATTTAAATTTAGCATTTTATATCCTCACAAAGAATCGACCCGTCTCTGTTCAGATGGACTTAAAGTGGGGTCGTTTACTTCCTGCTGTGTGGAAGTAAACTAAGTCTGTCACTGGTAGCTTTAAGAATTGTACAAAAATGTGTGCAAAATCTGTACAATATTAGAATAATACAATATCTGTGTGTGTGTGTGTGTGTGTGTGTGTGTGTGTGTGTCAGTCAGTGACAGACACAGCTTGGAGAGGCTGAGGTCAGAGCCACAGAGCCCGCCGAACGAATGAGGGAAGAGAAACAAACCCCTACTTGTCTGTCTGTCTGTATGAGTGCATCTGTGTGTGACAGAAACAGACACACACACACACACACACACACACACACACACACACACACACACACACACACACACACACACACACACACACAGCCCCAGTCACCTCTTGCCTCCTCTCTTGGCTGCCCATGAGCAAACACACCTAGCTGTATTGGATTCTGTGTGTGACGAGTGGGTGACACAGTGCCATAACCTGGATTCTGTGTGTGTGTGTGTGTGTGTCTGTGTGTGTGTGTGTGTGTGTGCATGCCTTGGTAAACCTGATGCAACTTCCTGAGCACACACATACACTCTAGGTCAACACCACACCTACATCTGAACACACTTCCAGCGATCCCCCTACATCCCCCATCCCCACACACACACACACACACACACACACACACACACACACACACACACACACACACACACACACACACACACACACACACACACACACACACACACACACACACACACACACACACACACACACACACACACACACACACACATAAACACACTATTGGGTGCATTCTCAGTTCACTGACATTTTCCCATGACTGCCCGCTGCCCGCTGCCAACTGGGCAACATGTGGTGCGTTTACATCACGTGGGAAAAACAATCGACCAGTGCCTGACATGTTTGCACAAGAAGAAACGCTTTTGAAGTTGAACACATTTTATTCTCTGTCTGACGACACACATGAGATCTTTGCAAGAAAGAAAACTCAGCCACTTGTGAGAGCTATTCTGAATTTATTTTAACAAAACAAATGTCTTTTCTTTTGTCTTCCAGGTGTCTGATCCCATCCCGATCAAAAAGTCCAAGTATGAAGACTTCCCGTTGCTCTCTCCGCTCTGCGACAAAGAGAAGCAGCATGACTGGCTCCAGTCCCTCGCCGCCTCCAATAAGGTGGGTGTTACTCTGCTCAGGAAGGAGACGATGATGATGGTGATGATGATGATGATGCATGAGATGTAATGTGACACATAAGTTTTCAGATGAGGGCAGAGCTTAAATTTAGATTTAACAGAGGGGGGTAACTGTAGCTGAGAGGACGGAGGGGGAGTGAAGTGAAACCAAAATATCCTGATGGATGTCGTCCGTGTTCTCCTAAACATCCAGGATGGAGATCAGGTTAGGGTGAGCTCATACTGATCCGCAGGATGACCACAACGATAGAACTCTTCACACCATTTACTCAATCAGAATCAGAATCAGAATCAGAATCAGAATCAGAATCAGGGTTTATTGCCAAGTACATTTACACATACAAGGAATTTGACTTGGTGTATTGGTGCTAAACAATTAACAAGGAAATAAAGCAGAACTAGCAACAACTTAAATAATACAGTATAAGAAGCTATTACAATATATAAAATAGAATTTAAAATATATAAAAAACACAAAATGTATAAACAGTGTAAGAGCTGTGCAGTGGACTATGAGAAAAAAATCTAAGTGTGTGTAACTATCTATCTAACAATCTATCTCAGTCACAGTGACATCCTGGGGAAGGAGACTCAAAGATCTCTGTGTTAGTGTAACAACCTGATGTAACATCTGTGTTATGTCTCTTGTTTTCAGGGGCTTAACTGCATCCAGCCAAGGCAGAGGCCCTCAGCTTTCAGACCCTGGTCCCCCCACATCTCTGCTGGTGAAAAGGAGATCTCCAGTCACCCCCTGGCCCTTCTGAGAGACAGGTGAGTCCAGGTCCAAAGTGTCCTCTAAATGATCTAAAAACAATGGAATGATCTATCTGGATCGTTCCAGAAGCTTCTCTGACATCCATTTTGTTCAGCGGGCTCGGATGATCTCCCAGCATGCTCTCTCACTTGTCTGGGTGGGCTGGAGTCAGGGGCGGGGAGGGGGGGATCAAGTCTGACTGTACCACAGCCTCCCACACTCCCCCCCCCCCCCCCCCCCATTCACACACACACTCATACTGTGGGCACCCACTTGGCGCAGGCTGCACCATATCACAGTCGATCTGGCCCAGTTTGTTACAAAGTGGGAGGAAGAAGCTGCAGGCTTTTTATTTGAATGTTTTTTTTTTTTCCCTGTTTGCTTCAAATCAGACCCTTCAATATGTCGCCGCCTGGCTTTCTGTGCGTGCAGGATTGAGCCGTTAACCTTGGTGTGTCAGTAAACATCTAATTTCTCTTTTAGCTTCTACAACTACAAGAGTCTGGAGAAGGCCGTGGCCCCCAACGTGGCCCTCACACCGCTGCCCCTGGGGAAGGTGGGTCCCATGTCCCCCTCTGTACCCAGCACCTCACACCCGAGTGGAGGCGAACCCCCAGGTGAGGGGGCCCACTCCGCCTCCAAGCCCCGCAAGAGGAGAGCCACAGAGGAGCTCCCAGCACCAGAGGCCCCCTGCCCTCCTCCTCCATCAGCTGCCAGCAAGCTGCCGCCACCGCCGCCGCCACCACCTCAGGAAGACAAAGACTCTGAGGTGGAGATCGAGGTGGAGAGTCGAGATGAGTGTAAGTAGAGAACGGGGAACTCGATGTGTTGAGTCTTTCATGCTAGCTAAGACGAGTCTTGTTCTAACACTCTCTCGTTGTCTTCCCCCCCCCCCCCCCTCAGTCACCTCGTCCCTGTCCTCGCTGTCGTCTCCGTCCTTCACCTCGTCCAGCAGCTCAGCAAAAGACCTGAGCTCGCCGGTCGCCCTGGGCCTCGTCTGCACCGTCACGTCAGCAGAAGGCACGCCTCCCGCAGCCGCGCCCGTCACAGCCCCCGTCACCCCTCCAGAGCCGGGGCTCGAGTCGGAACTGGAGAGTCTGCGGCAGGCGCTGGACAGTGGACTGGACTCCAAAGAGTCCAAGGAGAAGTTCCTGCACGAGATCGTGAAGATGAGGGTGAAGCAGGAGGAGAAGCTGGGATCAGCGCTGCAGGCCAAACGCAGCCTCCAGCAGGTGAGGATCCACTTCTGTTATTTAAAGACCTGAAAGACGTCTGATGTGACATGAACAGGTCGGATATTTGAGACTTTATTTCACTCCTCTCCAACGACTTTGTCTCGACGGTGTCCAGACTAGACTTTTGTATTTTTCATTTCAACCTAACAAGCTGACATACATTTGTTGGGACTAAAGCCTGACTCACACTGCAATTTTTCCTCCGATTTTCTAAAAGTCGGGGTGGCATGTCGGCTCACACTGTATGACTGAATCGTTTACGACGCCCGGCCAGACCTTGAGATTGACGTGCTCACACTGTACGACCCGATTGTCGGGGCACGGCCGGAGAGCTCACACTGAACGAGTGAAATCGGGACGGAGCGTTGACAATTGTTAATAAAGTTTCATTTGAAAAAAACAAAGGACGACGGTTGGTGAAAGAGAAGGAAGTGGAAGTGGTTGTAGGATATATAAAAGTTGATACAATCGTAGATATATGGATACAAGTTTCAGAAAAGTTCTGCACTGATGATCTGTACTGAAAATTAAAGAAAAAAAAAACACCGGGTTGCGTCCTGCCGCTGGTCGCCATGACTACAGTCCTCCCTTGTCTCTCGTGATTATATTGTAGTCACACACAACTTCTGCCGGACCCTTTCATGACGTAAACATCAAGATTTTAAATTCTAAATATTAAACATGTTTGAAATAAATCGGGGCGTCCCCGATCTGCCCGGCGATCGTCGTTAAGATTGGACCGCTCACACTACAAGATAATCTGAACAGAGAATCGGGTCCGAGCAGCCTCGAGTCGGGAGCGACCCTGAGATTGTAGGGAAGGAAGAATCAGAGTTAAAATGGGCCCGATTATCGTGCAGTGTGAGCCAGGCTTTAGCTGACACATTGTTTGGACTTGTCTGGATTAAAACACCTGCTTGCCCCCTGAAGACATTTTAAACACACTGAGGATAAACCTTTGTGTTACTGTTCAGCTCCACAGATCCAAACAATGATTACTCTGATTTCCAGTGTTGTAACAGCTTCTGGGTCTCCTTGGTCTTTAGACCTATCACCCTGCTGTTTAAAAGTCTCTTTACTCAGTATTCATCTGGTTTGAGAGCGTGCACCAGGATGAGTTCGAGTGCTGGCTGAGAGCGTAGGATTTCCCAGCCTGAGCAGACCTTTAAGCTTCTTGAAATCAGACCAGACAGAAACTTTTCTTTCTTTCTTTTTAAAAGTTGGCACGCTGAGGGAAACAACTCGAGCTCAGGAATCATAATGCAGAAGTGGATTAGAAGTCGTTATTGCCGTCCGCTGAGCTTAGCGAGAGTTGGCAAGTGATAACAATGAGAGCGGATGTTGCCGCGAAGGGAAAGGGCCAGACTTCCATTTTTTATTTTTGGCTTTTGGACTGAGAACAGAAAAAGCCGCAGACGTAGGAGTCTGTGTGCTTGAGAAAAGAGAAGGCGACAGAACTCCACTTTCACTTTCCGTCAGAGCCAACACAAATCAACCCCAAACTAAATGAACAATGGCCTCACATCCAAACCTGAAATCTGTCCCTCTGCCTTTAGCTGAACTATCATTACCCCGCTCGTGGTATTCACACAGTTCTTACGCTAAGCCTGGGCAGAGTCCAGGGTGTGAGCCCGATTGTTTCTTTTCACTCTTTTTGTAGCAACCAACAAAGCTTGATGACAGACATGTTTGTCCCCCCTGCTCTGTTCCCATGAGAAGGCTTTGGGTGTTTCCTACACACACACACACACACACACACACACACACACACACACACACACACACACACACACACACACACACACACACACACACACACACACACACACACACTCTGTCAATGATTCAGAGGAAGGAAACCTAACTTCTGTCAGCCCACACTTTGCCCTAACCCCACTAGTTGCAGTGTAAACACTGACATGGACACTTCAGCGTCCTGAAACAAGTCACCGCTCTCAGGTGTGAACCGCTCGGCCACCAAGTCAAACCGCCGCTAACCGGCTTTCAACGCACCACGGGACACTAATGCTCTCCAGTGATGTGTTTAGATGATGTAGTATAAGTTTATTATGGTCACATTATTACGTTTATATAATTTTATCTTCTTTCCATTAATGTTTACATGCATATATAAAAAAAAAACATTTCTCTAACTTATTTTTCATTTATTTATATTTTTGTTTGTTTTCTCGCTACTCCCCACCAAGGTCTGCACTTTAATGCATCACGCTGTCACTCACACACTCACACCTTTCTAACACCTGAACATAAAAATCATTGCTTGACTTTCATCTCATTAAAATGTATTTGTCTGTATTGTGGCTTATGTTTTGCTATTTTGTCCGTTTTATTTATTTCAATTTTAATTTAATTTTTGTCTTTGTTTATTTGTTCTCACTTTAGTTGGCATGTCTATATATTCTTGTTTCATTTTGTTCACCTTATCACCATCTTGTCTTCCAGGAGTTGGAGTTCTTACGGGTCGCCAAGAAGGAGAAGCTGCGGGAGGCGACCGAGGCGAAACGAAATCTGAGGAAGGAAATTGAGCGTCTGCGAGCCGAGAGCGAGAAGAAGATGAAGGAGGCCAACGAGTCGCGGATCCGTCTGAAGCGGGAGCTGGAGCAGGCCCGGCAGCTGAGGGTCTGCGATAAAGGCTGCGAGGCGGGACGTCTTCGTGCAAAGTACTCTGCACAGGTCAGTGACAGCGCCGTGTTGTTTAATATTCACACCTTCACCGTTTGAGAGACGAGGGTAGAAGAAGACGCTGCATTAAAGATCAGCTGTGGTGGTAGAAAGTCTAGACGAGTATGTCAACACCCTCAGACTAATTGCAGCGTTTCAGAGTTTCACCGTCTCGTAGACTTTCAAGGTCAGCAGAGATGAGGGCAAGAAAAAAAAACCCACATTTCCTCTTCCTCTGTTTGAAAATACATGGGTGTAGCCCAGAGAGCACAGATGTTTGATAAGTCCCCCTCTGAAAGGAAACAGGAAGAGACGTCGACTTCCCCCAAGGCTCTATGGGAAATGCAGATTAGACAAAACAAGAGGGAGGCTCTGCTCTCCAGCTGCGTCTGTGGTCCTCCCTGCAGAGACTGCAGGCGTCTCTGCGAGCCTGTCATTAAGACGAGATGGTTCAGACGTCTTTCTGCTCAGGATGGGAGAAGAAGCGCTCTCTTTGTGCTGCTAAAGATAACTCTGCTTCAAACGGCTTGTTATCATGAAGTGATTGGAAACATGAAGTCCACCCTGCAGAAACGAGTTCCCAAACCAGCTGTGCATCATGAAGAGATGTAGTTTAAAAAGATGCAGAATTAAACATCATGCCAGGAGCCGTGTTAGCGTCCATTTCATTTAGATCTTACTCTACCCAAAGACAGGGTTCAAGTCGAGGTTCAGGGAAACGTTGATCCGTCCATCACTGTGGCGTCCTCATTTCAAAGCTCAGTCTCTGGTTGGATCATCACTCTCCAAACCGCCTCTGTAGTCTGATCTGTTCCACTGTGTAACCTCAGTTGTTTCCTGCCATGTGTTTTCCAGATTGAGGACCTCCAGATGAAGCTGCAGCACGCCGAAGCCGACCGCGAGCAGCTTCGAGCGGACCTGCTGCAGGAGCGGGAGGCCAGGGAGCACCTGGAGAGGGTGGTGAAGGAGCTGCAGCACCAACTGTGGCCCAAATCCAACTGCGACATGGAGGGGGCGCCCAACGAGACCACAGCTGACAACTAACCCAGCAGCCAAACTCACGGCCCAACCATCTTCCACCCCCCCACCCCCCACCCCCCAATCGCCATGATTACCCAACATCTTCCACCAAACCCGGACCATAAACACACCCAGGAGTCCAGGGCCGGCCGCATCGTAAGACCATCACAGAAACTCGAGGACTTGTCCTCAGGCCAGAGACACGAGGACCTGTGTCCTCATTCATGCCCATGAAACAAGGAAACACTCGCACCTCCTGAACTCGCAGAACTGAAAACTGGATTCAGAGAATGAAGAAAGACAGATCCATAACAGCAGATGTGTTATGGGAGAGTTTAACGGATTTCTGTGGTAATAAGTGCAGAAGATGGTGTGAGCGTGAGGAATGTGGAGTCGTTAATGCGATGTGGCCCAGAGAGCAGGAGTCAAATCTAACCCCCCCTCCCCCGTCCATCGCCATGACGACGATGGAGGAACACTTTATAAGCTATTTAAGGGACTACATAGCGACATGTAAAGACAAAAAAAAGACAGTTTCTTTGTTTCTCTGTGCTTTTGGAGTTTGAAAAATATAAAAAAATAAATAAATCAGAAGATGAACAAAACAAGCGAATGAACCCTCCACAGTGCCACCGTGGTTTTGTCGGTTTTTCAGGAAGCCATAGCAGTCCGCCGAGGGGGGGGGGGGGGGGAAGCATCGAGTCTGAAGGTCAGGCGACCCCGTCTTTTCCTCCCATTGTTGTTTTATAAAATCATTTCTGTCTCATTTCTCCGAGCAGCGGGTGAACTGGCCTCGGGCTCGATCTTTTTCTCCTCTTGGACCCCGGAGCGGGACTGGTAAATCACATCCTGCGGGGGCTGCAGTTTGAAGAGAGAGCACTTTGTTTGGGTCGATCACCAACAGTCCCCCTGTCTCACCCGCTCGGTTTGCATTGTTAAGCATTTGGGTCAAACCCTGAAGTCTTTATCTTGTGAAGATACGATTCTCCAGATGTGAGTGTGAGAGATGAAACCGACACGTTTTTTTTTTTACTCCATGAAAAACATCTGATGTGAGACCACAGTGGGCTGGACGGGATCCTCCCCCCCCCCCCCCCCCCTCCCCCTCCCCCTCTTTGGCAAGAACCACAAAATGTTCATTTGAATTAAATTAAGGTGTGTAAATATAAATATATGTTGTTGTTTTTTAACTTTACAATAATGAATCGCACTTTGTCATAACAAGATACTGTTATAAAGCATTGTACTCCACTATCGTCTTCAGTTTACTTTTGAAAACAGCGTTCTGCTCGACAGCACCCGCAGAAAGTGTTGTTCTGTTCTCGTACGGGAAAGTGTAAATAAACGGAGAGAGAGAGTTTAAAAAAAAAAAAAGGCTCCACGTGTTGTCTGCGGCCGTTCGGAGCTGCGACACGTCTCTGTTGTAAGATAACGGACACGTGAAGCGTGAACTTACAGCGACGCGTCAGAAAGAATAAAATGGGATTTTATTCCAGCGGCGGCGGACTCGGCGTGAACCCGCCGCTGCCGCCACATAGTGGGTACAATGCAATCAGAATGTACATTGTGTTAATGCTATTTTTCCTTTGGTTGTTGATGTTGTTTTGAAACGTGGAGATCTTTGATTGCTCGTCTGTTCTGTTCCCTCCCTTCAGTAGAAACTCATCTTTTCTTTCTGCATGAGATGTGCGAGCGCTCGCCGTCATATAGTCACTTATCGGGCATTGATACTGTACGTGTAAGGCTTTGATTGTGTTCTACGATATTGAGCAGTTTGTCTTATTTAGAACAAGTTATGAACACAGCGTTTTATCCTTCTTCAGAAAAAAAAAACTTCACACAAAAAAAAAAGATGAATGCAATGCTGGACAACCTCAAGTGCCTGGACGAGGGCGAAAGGTTTCCAGAGAAGGAGAAGTGACGAGGACGCCGTCGGGGGCGGAGCCTCTCATCAACCTTCTGTTTGCAGGGTTTTTTTAAAAATTCCAAGCCCCCCCCCCCTCGCTCGCTCGCTCAGCAGCTCTTTTTATCAGTATTCCTCAAACATAAAAAAAAGATGAACCAGTTTACAAACTCTTCTTTTTCGATGCAGAGAACAATTGAACAAACGCTCGGCGCTTCAGGCTTTTCTTTTTTTTTCTGAATGAGTGATTTTTTTTGTGTCTTCATTTGAAATCGATGATATGCATGTTCAAAACATTTTTATAGAAGACCTCGAGAAGCCGCTTGCTTTTGGTGAATTGTTACTTTGGGTTGTGTATATAAAGATTTAACCGTTTCACTCCCAGCGGCGTGTTGGGCGGCGGCAGCGTGCCCCGAGGCGGTCAGACTCGAGGGCATTACGTGACGAGCGGCCCTTTTCTTATCCAATGTGACTCTGAGAGCTACGCTGCGACTTTGGCAGACTTTCAATTGGTACATTTTGTAATTGTTTTTACACTCTGAGGAGGCGTGTAGTTTACTTTCCTCATGGTTTTCTACAAAAAACAACGGGAGGCGATACCGACATTGGCTCTTCACGCTCCCGCCGACGAAGCGAAGATAAAAAAAAGTCTTGTTTTCTAAAGGAGAATCATTTTGCTAAAAAATTTTAAAAAATGGACGCACGAGCAGCAATAAGAGTCCAACCGAATCGACAAATACTCGCCAGTGTGAAGGTTTGAATCCGAATTTACAAATGTAAATATGTTTTTCATTTACAATATTGTATAATATATGTACATGGTGTTTCCTTTTTCAAAAACAAACCTTTTCTTACAATAGCTGTCTTGTTTTTTTGTTTTTTTGAATTTGTGTTTTAACGTTGCAGAAACAGTTCATGCAGTGCGTAAGAGAATATTCCCTACATAAACATGTTAATCCTTTTTTTTTTTTTTACTGTAGAGTCTTTATATCGATGACTTTTTTCACCAGTTCATATATATTTTTAACAGTATGTTCAGTATCATAGCAGTCAGGGGGGGGGTCACACGCCGGTGACTCGGCCATGTTGCAGATTGTCCCCCCCCCCTCCTCCTCATCCTCGTGTATCTTCTTTAGCCCTGTGCTGCTGCTAATACTCGATAAACCTTACACTTCTAGAAATATTTTTATGTAAGAGGTTAATGTAAGCTTTCCCATTTATTAACGCCACATATACAGTATGAGAAATGAGCTCGGCTTGTTCATCTATCTCCCTTGTTTCCCTCATCGTTTCACGCCTTTTTCCTCATCCCCCCCCATCCTCCCGTCCAACAATGCCCCCCTCCCCCCCTCGCCCCCCCCTTCTCTCACGACACGGACTATATTGTAAAGTAAAGGACTTTATGAGATTATGTTTGAAAATAGCTATGCTTATATACTACAGTGACTGAATGTACAGTGTATAGATGCATTACCAGAAATAAAGTTGTTTGTCCAGATTGAACGACCCACTTCTGTTTTTTTTTTGCTGCCTGCGACATGAATCCTAATTATCCTGTAAACACTGCAGAAGAAGAGCTTGTTTTATTCTCATGTTCAGATTCAGAAACACGGGCACCCTCTCTTCTTCTGCAAGAACCAGGAAGCCACGAGGAAAATCTCAGACACAATCCTGAAGGTCTGTGATGAAAATGTTGATAGACCCTTTTTGCCTTAAATTGATCAGCTGAAGAGAGACAGGAAACATGGTGAAAAGAGAGGGAGAGGGAGGGGGGGGGGGGGGGCGACATGCTGCAAAGGGCCGAGGTCGGACTCAAACCCACGGTCACTTCAACAACACTAACCACTGCAACACTGTGCAGACAGATAGTCCAGAATCATGTGAATAAGGCCTGACCGATACGGGAATCTTGGGGCCGATACTCATATCGATATTGGGGAGATAAAGAGTAGGTTACCAATATCTTTCTTAGATCTGTGTTAAAACTGTCCTCCTCCATTTATTGTGTTGGTCCCTCACTTATCAAACGCTTGTGGAAAAGATATTTAATGAAGATGGTCACTCGACTGGAAAGTGACTGAGCATGAACTAGCATCACCGCTCGACACTCTGCAGAGTGATGATGTTTGTTTAATCCTTAAAGCGCCCTCTGCTGGTGACAGAGAACTGCCAGTGTAATACAATGAAACTCAAATTAAATGCTGTTTGAGTAATATCTGCGCATATCTGGGATAAAATAGTCGATACAGATAGTCACTGGATATGCTGATATCAGCTGATTATTCAGTCGGACTCTAATGTGAAGGACTCAAATGGTCAGAGTGGAAGAAGCAACGGCTAACCTGCAGCCTGACCATCAGAAAACTGTGATGAAACACAACGATACAAACAGACTGTGAGATCTTTAAGTGGAGCTCATCAGGAGCCAATACCCAATAAGACTGATCCAGAACTAAACATGAACTTCTAGTCTGACAACACAGACCTGATACTGTTGGTCCGTCTGGTTCTGAGGTTCTGAGTATCTAAAGACTCATAAAACAAATGAAACAATCATCAAACGAGTTGTAGGTTTGAAAGAGAAAGAGAAAACAACATGAGAATAAAAAGATAATAACATATTTAAAGTCTCTGAGCTGAACTCAAGAGGAGGTTTTTTTTCTCTCTCCAGCGTACCAAAACAACAGTTAACCCCTCCTCCTGCTTCAGCCTCTCATCCGGTTCATGTACACACACTTGGTTTTAAGGCAGCTGCTGAGAAACCTCCGTAATTACTGAGAAAACCTTAAAAAGGAAAAGATGAGCTGCAAACACTTAACTCCAAAGGAATGTACGCTAGGTCTCGAGTTAACGCCCACTCAGCCTGACAGCACTGGATGTAAACATTCATTAGTGTCTACACAAGCTGTGTGTGTGTGTGTGTGTGTGTGTGTGCGTGTGTGTGTTAGCTGCAGGCTCCTCAGTGTGCAGAGCAGAAAGAGTCATGTTTATCTTCCATATAGTCAGACTTAAAGGAGTAGTCTTGGTTAGTCATTTGGAACAGTTACTCTTCATTCAAACAATCACAATCTGTGTTGAAGAATCACACAATGTTATTTATACAAATACCTTCCTTAAGAAAAGCAGTAGTGATACATTACACACAGAACTGTGAAACGATGTGGAGGCATCATCTCAGGCAGAGCAAAGTCGATTATGTAGGAAACTGTGTTTGGTGCACTTTGGCGCCCACAGAAGGCCTCTTAAACGTGCAGTGCTGTTAACTCCTCCCCCTCTTATACAACGCGAATATGTTGAAAAAAAAACGTCATGAGAAGCAAAACAACCGCATGGACTGACAAGGTTCGGTAATATTTTCAGCTGTAGATCATATCTGTCTCTGCTAGCTTCTACAGCCCGTTGTTTAGCACTGTTAGCATGTGCAGTATGAGTAGGGGGTATTTAGTCGTTACCATGACGACTATAGGCCGTGGCTTAAGTCTACAATGGAGAGAGACAAACACTTAACAGTCTGTAGCCCTTTTTCATACTGCAGGTCAAGCTGTCATCACGCCTTAAGACATCCATATTGATTCTGCAACAGTGAAATATTGGCGTCCCGGACTGTGACTTCACATTGAAGTGCGAGAGAGCACGGTACAGCAGGGGCTCCACATACACACACAGTCGGAGATGCACCTCCACACCTGTCTCACCCATTATGTCTCTGTTACTACCTCCAAAGACCGTACAGAGGAGGGATCACTTCGTCCCCTCATTACGCCTCTGAGACACTCTGAAACATCAGAGGGATGTAAATATGGCGCCTTGAAACAGCAGTCTGAACAGGGATTGAGATGTGCATCTTTATGAGACCCAAACAGGGGGCGACAACAGGTGTTGATGTTTTTAAATCAATTGCACTGTTGCATTTATTTTCTTCTTCATTGAATTAAATGCAGAAAAAAAGAGCAAAGAAAGGGAAAAGTTTTGTCTCTGGTTCAGCTTAA